TTTGCGTGGACTACAGGCCAGACCGTTGCACCTATCCCGGTGAAATTTGCACAACTTATAGATCAAGGATGCGCGACGTGCCTTTGAGGGGTCTCAGCTTGATCGGATTGATAGGGAGCGCGTGGCGCGTGCTCAAAAAGTGCAAATTCGCGTCATAGACTTTACATGTATAAATCGGCGTGCGAAATCGGGCGAAAACGGTTAATTTTGGCCGACACGGGTCCAGTTCCCGTGCAATATCTTGGTGACCAGGGGTCCGACCGGCACGGGGAAAACAGCATCGTGTAGATAATTGAATGGGCAATGGAATCGTGTGCGATACAGAGGATAGCACGCGCCACGTGCACCGGGGAGGGCACTTTTGTTGAAAAATTGCGGTTTTTGGCGGATTTTGGAATTGATTTTATTTTTAGGTGACCGTTAAACAGGGCGAGTTGGAACAACGCCTGTTGGCAAGAGAAATGTACCGCCTATCATATAAAAATTGTGAAAAGCTGATTGATCCAAATCAAGGTGGTACAAATCACGGGAGAAAATGGTGTTTGTCAATTTTGTGTCACTTTGTTCATCAAAATGGCTTTGCTCCATGATCTGATGTATCTGGCAATCAAAAATGGCACCGTTGGAAAGAGCATTCAATTCTGACCAAGGTTAAGTCTTCATTTTTGCATGATGAGCAACAGTATTCTTAAAAACGTAAATTTTCCAAACCATTGCATCGTCATTTTTAGCGAAATTCATCGATGGCCCTCAAAAAACTTCACGCCAGTTTTCGAATCATTCTAAAGTAGAACGCATGATAATACGACACGGGCACCTCGATGCGATGTATCTTTTTGTTTCTTACAAAATGCTTGGCCGTCAAAAAGCAATCGAACGAAATGGATATCTACCAACCAAATCGACACAGACCAACCCAATACCCACGGGTCAAAAAATCCCCCCTTCGCGTTGCGGAGCACGCGGGTAACCCTAGTCAATCACTAAAATCCTTTTCACTTCCCTCAAATCTCATTTATAAACAATTCACATTTGTATTACGTGCGCCAAATATGTCTACGCAAGAGCCTCCTCCAAAAAACCAACTTTCGTTTGGGATGAGGGAGGAGGCAAATAGTGGTGGTGAGATGTGAAATCAAGATGAGCTTGGAGGAGCTTGGAGGAGCGACGGGAACGATTTTTTGAAACGAGAGGAGGTTAGAGGAGCTTAGAGGAGGTTAGAGGAGCGACGGGAACAAACCCATAGAGTTCAGTGGGTTGTTTCTGAGGAGATGTGGAGATGTGAATTAGTAATTAATCACACTTTTTTTAGTATATAGGGCCTTGAACTTTATCATCTGGATTAAAAAAAAGTTTCCTGCTGAGTGCAGAAAGGTAGGTAGGTGCATCGCCAGGTTCTATCACAGGATTGGAGCAGTTATTGCAGTTGAAAGTCAAAGTTGGCTGTTCATGTTTAGGCCCTGTTCTTTATTTGGCCATCTACCCCATATTGCAGTTGTGATGACAAGCAGTTTTCAGTGTAGTTTTGTGATCTTTGATGTCATCAATTGGTGTCATTATTTTTCGTCAACTAAAACTTATTTCAACTTTCCATTCAATCGACTCAATCATACGAGTCACTCTAATTTTCGGGAATCAAATCAGTCAACCAGTCGCTAAAGTCAAACGAGTCAGTCAACCAGTCATCTCGAAAAGTCAATCGACTCAATCCAATCAACTCAAAATACGCGTTGAATCAAATCAATCAATTCAATCGACTTGATTGGTATACAACCCTGGATGGAAGGGAACCATCTATGGACAGTTGACGATGCACACTGCACTGCAAACAAAGTAGGGAAGGCGCAATACATAAGAACTATTACCCCGCCCTCAGTTCAGACGACTGACATGCAGAATGTTCAGTGCGACTCTGATTTGACGATATCTGCTCCTCAAGCCTGTCATCTCGTTTGTAACAGTGCTGTCAAACGAGCGATGGAACCCGCCACTGATTTCTGACTGAAGTCTGAGCCCTAGATCGCTAGTGCTGATCAGAACAGTTGCAGTGCAGTGCAGTGCGGTGCGGTGTAGTGCTACGCTGATGTGAATGGGTGCGCACTGCGCACAGCCCGTGCAAACGCTGTTTGTCAAGCTTTTACTGCAAGTTTTGTCGCTCATTATGCTCGGGTTTGTGGGCTATAGGGAGATGAGATGCTTACGAGTTACAAATGAAGTGCGGTGCGGGCTGGACAGATCGAGGAGGCAGAGATGTGTTCGAGGATTTATATAACTGCGGGAGGACCTGTTGACCTTCTGAGGTCAAGGTGACGATCAGTGGCAATCTGAAGGTCTGCTGCGGCTCATATCGGAATAATGCGGAGCTTCTCGGGAGCGAAATGAGAAACACGATTTACGGCGCGATTCTGCGGGAGAGCTGTTTACGGATGCAGATCAGCCGCGATACGGCGGCTGCATTGTGAGAGAAACGTCCAATATTTTGTTGGCTGTGAGGGTGCATACAGACGATCCCCGAGCATCCATATTTTCAAGATGAACGTGCTGAGTTTTCCCGCTTCACGCCACAACGCAGAGCCGAGAAATAGGTCTTGGGCTCGAGAAAGCAGTGGTGAATCAACGCTAAAATTATCTTCCGCCTAGCCCCGAGTTATTCCCAGCGTTCCAGTTGGTCTATTTCCAGTGTTCACCCGCCCCTGTGTGTTTTTTTGTGTTTGTGTCTGTTTGTGCTGTTTTCCGGCTGGAGCGCCGCGTCGGCCCTGCTATGTTTGTTGGAATGGGTCACTCCACGGCGGGCCAGCTCAGTCCGAGGAGCCAGGTCGGACGTTTTATCCTCTTCTGACATTGGCATTGACTCTCGGTACCGCTGCCCACACGTTCATCCATTATGTATCACCATCACATGACAAATTGGCGTTAAACTCTGATCAAATAGCGTCGGGTACAGTGAACGACCCGCAGGCTGACATCAGATAAGGTACAAATGCAAATGCGTCGCTCATTTACGGTTTGATGCTTCCAGGCTGGGCTAAAGGCGCCGCCCACGTCAGCAAATTGTGGCGACTGTGGTTATATGCCGGTTCTGAGAGTCTGGACTGTAAAACTGCGCTGATAAAGTCGCGTCGTGTTAGAGGGATTAGCAGTGAACGCGACGGAACGTGATCGCACACATACACCGATAACTGTGCTATCTTAATCCCCGGCTGATAGGTGCGCTGTTGTAGTGTACCCACACAAATGTACGCACTGATTTACGTGTATAATTAACGGTTATACCAGCCCTTGTGAGGTTAACTCTGGCACGAAATTGTAGGCTACTGATCAACGGAACCCTGCTTGGCGTGGACAGAGTGATGCCACTCGTTGCTCTGTAATTAGTGGAGGTGTGATCAATGAACATGCAGTAATTGAGCCTGTTGGCAGCGTGCGAGATCCTCACAGCAGCATTTCCATTAGGCTCCCGGGGCCGGGTTAACGAGCTGCCGGCACATCCGAGTTATGTTATTAATTATCGTGCACTATGCAGGATGCCCGGACATGCACTATTGCCATGACCAGGCAGACCGTATTCCAGAATATAAATGATCTCGTGCCTACGTGGAATTTCCATCGGAACATCATGAACATGGGATGGAGACTTCCATTTCGCGTCTAGCTATAGACGCGTCTAAGTCTTAGACACATCTAGTGGGACGGCGGCTGCGTCTATCTGACGACAGCTAACTTTAGACGCTTCTAGCTTGGAAGTCTCCGTCCAATAGTTAACGCCAATTAAGACGCCAACTTAAACGTCTGCTCAGTTAGACGTCAGTTGGACGCCAGTGGAAGTCTCCACTCATGATGCTTTTACTGGTATGTGTTACTTTGGCTCGAACATCATTCGTGATATAATTGTCACAAGAAATTAAGCCGCTTTAAGCTGTTATCCGTAATCCAAATTGCCAATTTGAAGTGACATCAATGGAAATATTTTGTTTTACAGTACTGCTCCAAGATATGTTATACCTACCTATATGTCATTTAGGACTCCCCGCACCCATCACTATTTCATGTTACTATAGCAATTACGACACGTCGCTGAGCGATCCACTCCATGTTTCTCATTCGCTAACCGGTGGTCTCACCTCATCACCCGCAGTAGGGTTAGGGTTAGGGTTAGGTACACGTATTTCTGACTGCAGATATGTCAGCATGTCAGCATGTGTGACTTGCATGTTAGCTAAGCTGGAGCTGAAGTCGGATAAATCCCAGTCCCATCCTCTTAGTATCGGCACTGTACTTGTAGTACTAAAGAGTATGCTTAAACGCTTATTTAAGTTTTGAGAGAAAATTAGAAAAATCAAACCAACTACTGCAAAGGATTAAAAAATAACACGACCTCAAATCAGTTTTAGGACGCTTAAAATATACAGTGCGCACTACGCACACCACTTAGGTATGCTTAGGATAAACTTGCCTGCAAACGGCATGAGTCATGTGAAGTTTCCATTGTTGTTACTAGTACCTTTGTCATGCCAAAATGTTCTGCTCTCTTGTTCCTCCAGTAATAATTTGCTGGAGGAGCGCGTTCTTGGTTTGTTTTGATATTTTTGTCGTTGGATGCTAATCCAATGAGGCCGTGGGCCGTGGGGTGGGTGGAAAATAGAAACATTTGGTTGAGTCGGCTACTGAGGGGCACACCGCAGTGACAATGCCCACTCCTGGTGGGTCGGGACTTGGGACTTCACGAGTGAAGCGCCGATCTAACCCCTGGTGGTGAGATACACAACCATCAGTTCCACAGATGGCCTCCAGGTGGCAGGCAGGCAGGCAGCTCGGACAGGTCAAGCACTCCACACCGCCTCTCTGATCCGCTGATCTTGATCCTCCTGTTGTAGCCGCCATCCGCTGATCTCTTATTACAGCTTCTGTTCAGCTGATCCGTGTGTCACGATTTCTGTGTCGGCTTCTGAGCTTACCCGACTGTTGTGTTGCTCTGCTAAACCCGGCCTCTTTCTTTTCAGCTCGAGTGCGCCCTGGCAGCCTGGGATAAGGAGGAAACTAGAGTCGGTAAGTCAAGCACTGGCGCGTGGCGAGCCAAGCTGAGACGCAGGGAGGAATGATAGGCTGCGCACAGTGGTCACAGCTCAACAATGATTAATTAGGGGAAGCGGGGGGAGCACCGCCACCTTAAGCATTTCTGCTCACCGAGCTGATATGCGTAGTGAAAACGAAGCTCTTTTGCATTCATGTGAAAGTAGGAATGTTTTCCTACATGCTGGCATAGTTTCCAGCGCTCCATTATAAAATTTCGCTACTTTACAGACATTGAAAACAAGTCCTGCATTTTCCGTCCTCCAAAAAAATGTGCGGGTAGCACCGCCACTGATGGCGATGTTATCCACAGATCGGCCTTACGGTGACAGCCACCCTTGGAAGCGTTACTGCTGTCTGAAATAGTAACTCAAACTCATATAAGACACACAAGAGTTGGTTGTTAGTAACTTAGTTTGTCACAGATCAGACTGTTTGTTGCGGACAATATGCATACAAAGCATGACAAATTCACGTTTATTTCGAAACATCCAGTGAAGTCAAACGTGAGGTTAAAAAACAGACGACGTTTTCGGCCTAACTAAAGCTCTTCTTCGAGCTGAGTGAATCATCATTGCGGCTTTATCCATTTTGCCACCCCTTGGGGTAGCACCGCCGAGCATGGCGGTGTTACCCCACACACAGTCATGGACCGACAACGCCCCGACAGCAAAACAAGCCGGGACGCGATTCTTCTGTAATTCCTTTCTAAACGAAGAGGCACTTCATGCCCTCAAATTTAACGTAAAAATCAAGGCATTTTGACTTGAAATGACCACTTACTTGCTGCTAAAACATGCCAAATGATTACAACGATGGTTTGAAATTCACAAAATGGGCAATTGCGATCTCAAAATCAAATAAATCTTAGCGAAACCTACCTCACGCGGCGTCCCGTTTCCGTTCGGACACCGAAATGGCGGGTGTTTACATTAGTACAATTCAGAGTTTTGCCGATAGAGAGGATGGCGGTGTTTCCCACATGGCGGTGCTACCCCCGCTTCCCCTATGTGCACTGTGATTGCTTTTCTGCACGACATTTGGAAGAGTGGTACACGCTACCTAATCAGAGAAAGTCGGGCAGCGCAATTCGCCATTTGCACCATGCTTTTCATTTTTAGCAAGAGCATTGTTTGAATTACCAAACCCTAGCAGTGTTCTAGATAGATAGCGCTCATGTCCATTGTCCACTTAGCTACCACCTGTCTGGACATTAGCCAGCGCAGTTTTACTACTCTAAACAACTTAACTGCCAGGAACTTATGTCGGTAGGAAATTCTCCCATTGCCATGCCTTTTAGTGTGCTATTTTTCGTGTTACTCACATTTAGCACACGTATTTCCTATCCTTCGACTGAGCAATGGCATTGGCTGTGCAACGTTCGTAGCGTGCCTACTGCTTATCCCCATCCGCGTCAATCTAGTCGTGTCTGAGTGATTGTTACGACGGCGACCTGAATACTCACGTGTTGCTCAATTGGTCGGAGAGGTGGACAGGCGCGTAACCACGAGGCCGAAGTCACTGGGGACCACATGGAGGGCTGCGAAGACCAAATTTTATATTTCAGGATCAGCCTTCGCCCGAGCAGGGGGGTGGGGGCGTTTTTGGACACACCTGCCATTTTTTGCGCGTTTAAGGGAAACCGCCGCTCGCACCGACGCGAAACTTGGAATAGCTTAGGATGCCTCAATTTCGCATCATGTGTGAAGATGTTGACCCCAGGTCACCTGAGGTCAGGTCACCGGGTCAAGTAAAGTAACCATGCCTCTAAAAAACTATACGACTGTCATTCCTACAGTCAACATTCCAAAAGTTTGAAACTCGAGCTTTAGCATGAGGAAATCAGTGTGAACAATTCGTATATCTCTAAAGTCTTCACATCGGTGACCTAAAGTCAGGTCAATTTTGCGAACTCTCCATTTTCCAATTTTCCAATTTTCTCCCATAAGTCAATGGGAGAAAATTGAAATGATCTTAAGGCCGAAACACACCGTGACACAGGTAAAAATGGCACACTGAACCTGTTAATTGCAACTATGTGACCCCTTGTATGCCCTTGAGGTCATCTCAGGCCATGACACATCTCCATGAGTTTTTTACCATAACTTTAGGTAGAAATATGCTAGAGCGCTGAAAACACGATGAATGTGTTCAGCTCAACAATACTAACCGAATGACATGCAACATGACCTTTTCCGTGACCATGACCAGAGTTCAATATTTCCAGACTTAAAATTTATTCGACGCGTCTCAACGAGACGAACGCGATGCCGTAAAATCAGCGTCATACAAGTTTGGAGGCAAAAGTTATGATACAGAAACCTATCCCGCAAAAACGCCAACCTGGAGGCTAAACCGTTGACCTTAGGTCTAGTCTGAGGACATTGATCAGAAAGGCCTTTAAAAGAGCTATCGAATGCGCTTCCCCGCCGCACTGGAGCTCTATTGGTTCCCGACTTATGCGCCGATTTGTGAAAAGCTGTCAAAATTGGGAACAAAAGTTTGTGAAAATTTTACCTTTGGTGACCTCCAGTGACCTCAGCGATGACCTAATCGAAAATAATTGTAATTCTGAAACATACGCAGCGAGCTATCTATTGCTTTTTACTGCGTCTTTCTAAATTGCTTACTTTCCGAGATGATCTGCAGTGTGGCCAAAAAGCCCCCTCCCCCCATGGCGAAGCTGGCTGAAAGGCCCACCCGGGCGAGGGCTAAACAAAACATCCATAGTTTTGTCTTCCGTTGACTACATATTACTCTTCATGTCGATTTAGAGACAATATTTGGCTATTTAAGCAAATTGAGGAGGTCGTCGGTTTTACTGGGGACGGTCCCCAGTAACCCAAAAGCTACTGGGGACCGGTCCCCAGTGTCCCCAGTGGTGGTTACGCGCCTGGAGGTGGAATATTTTACGTTGACGTCAATCGTTATATAAGTACGCTTGTTTCCTGTTCTTATTTGACGAAGGATAGATAGTAGGTAATGCGCAATTTGTGGCGAAACGGTTTCGTTTATGCAATAATTATTTTATTTGTCTTGCATATAACTCGTACTACCCTAAATTATTGTTCAAACAACTGGTTGCTGACACTTCAGAAGTACATATACACTATACATCTATTATGAGTAGCGAGAAAACAATGTTTAAAAACAGCAAATGATGGCCAACTGCCAAAGAGCAGCTCACCGAAGTGGCTCTACACTCGCCTATAACCACTTCAACAGGAAGCGTTTCATCCACCCACCAGCTGAACGGGACACTTCAGCTCTGCTGCTCTAGTTTTTGATGCACCTTATGGACCCATGCATCTAGTTTTTGATGTACCCCATTGCACCCATTCCCTGCCGCACCCGTACTTCACAGCGCGGTGTGGGTGCAGCCATCAGTGGTCACTTACCGTGACCCAAATGGGCGCATCGGCAGACCCTCCGCACTGGTCGCAGGCGGTCTGGGTCGGCTCCAGACCCGTGAGAGCCCACAGTTTGTGTGTCACAGAGCCGCCGCCGCCCCGCCGCCGCCGCCGCCGCCGACGGGCAGTGACGTCAGGGAAGCGGTAGCGTCGTTAACGACGACGCGCAGTTGGGCGATAGTGGCCGGAGTGACGACGGTAGTGGTTGAGGTAGCGACGGTAGTTGCCGAGAAGGCGACGGTACACTGAAAAAAATTTTTACTCAGGCCAGGCATTACTCAGTAATAACTCATGAAGAAACTCAGTGAATACGATAGTGGTGCTCACTTATTGGCTGATCTAACTCACATCACCAGGGTGACTTCGTTATGCGTGAGTTCTGAGTGCTTAGTTTCGTGAATTCGAACTGAGTCGGAAATGAGTTTTGCTTGGGCAAATCTAGTTTCCTGCGCAATGCATGAGTTCTCGCGAATTCACGTGCAGTTGTGCGTGAGGTACCCCCGGCTTGAAGATGCGCGCATGCGCGGCAGGGTGAGTTTCCTGCGTGATGCGTGAGTTCGCGTGATGAGTATTATAGCCGTTGCGTTCGAAAACCGCGACGCGCGCTTCAGTCCGTTGCGGTGACTCGCGTAGTTCACGTTGAATTGTTGAGGCTATTGTGAAATTGTGCGGGAGAGTGCAGGAGCGGGGAAGGCGTGCAGCGAAGGATGGGACCGGTAAGTTATCTGTGAAGAGCTCGGTGATTGTCGATGAAGCCTTTATCAATCGCATGCGCCGCGGAGAACAGGGAGGTGAACTGATGGACCAGCAGACATTCCCCGCCGGCGTCAGGAGGTCGGTGCCAACCGTGAACGGCGGAGCAGGTCGATCGAGAAACTGAGGGATACCTACCCGGCATAGTTCGAAAAAGAAGAGGTGAGTTATGTTATATTTAAATTTAACCCTTGCATGTGTGCGGCGTTTTCCAGCTTCTAATGTGTAGGGGGGGGGGGGGGGGGGGTCGGTTGGATTTAACCGATTTGGTCGGTTAAATTTAACCCTTGCCGTTTGGCCCCTGATCGAGCTAGAGCTTCGCGGAAAAAAACGAGCGTGTTGCCCGTGACGAGAGGAAGCCGATGATACCCAATTTTAAGGTCCTAGGTCATTGGTTGACCTTCCAGGTCAGGTCAATGACCCAAAGTCGGGAAAATCGGGACCTATTAGAAAGTCGTAAAGTGTGGCTGCTAAGGGGTTTTTCGGGGTACTGATCACGAATATCGTGTTAGTTTTGATCACAGATGATGTCTTTAAGCATTTAGACCAGGTCGGGTCAGGTCAGGTCAGGTCAATCAGTAGGCGTCGTGACGGGTATTCGTAGTACGTGTCAACCGCCTCTGACAGCTTCGTAACATGTTACGAAGGCACCAAAACTACTTCGTAAGTGTTCAAATGGTTGTTAAATTCGAATTCAGCTCCAAAAACTAGCCTAGAAACATGTAAAACTCGAAAAAGTGAACCGAGGTCACCCGAGGTCACCAAAGGTCAATGACCTGACCTGACCTTCAGGTGACCTTGACACCCACCCTA